AAACATGGTTAAAGTGTTACACTAATGGACCCAATGGACCACCAATAGACCATCAATGGACCACACATTTGCCAACCCTGAACCCAACTTATTTTACACCACAAAAAAATAAAAAAAATGAAATAAGATTGTTGTCATTCGATAATCACATTTAACATTTAACATTTTAATATTAATATTAATATATAATAATAAATTTTCCTTGTCATTCCCAATTGTATTTGACAAATTAAAATTTTTTTAACTTTTGAATACAATAAATACAACTGTGTTTTACATAGAAAATGTCAGATACACAATCCACAATTGATTTTCAAGTAACCTCTGAATTCATTAATATTATCTTTGGAACCATGCTTTGCTCACCAGAAGCATGTTGTATTTGTGGTATGCAAACGTCGTGGTATATTAAAGAGTGGTTCAAATACTGGGATTGATAAAAATGAAAATTTATTTCTACATAGTAAGATTTTTTTTATTAAAATTTTTTGTTCACAGATTCCAGTTTCTTGTTTTGTAATGGTATAATCCTCATCCTGCTTTCTTTTTTTAATGTTTATTAAGTTTCTTTCTTGGTGAATTTCATAGGTAATTCTTTCTTTTTTTAGATAAGCTTCAAGTGTTTATTTCGTATTATTATTTTTATATAGAGGTAATTCTATATATCACTTAATATTAACAAATGAGACATTATAAAACTAATTGTGATGATAATAACTAAATTTTGAACCCTGAAATCCTTAGTAATGCAAATGTTTACTTTGTCTGGTGCCCCATATGAAAGATAATTTTTTTGAGAAAGTTTTTTACCCATGTTAAGTAAAGATCTAGTATATTGACCTTCTGCCAGCCATTGGATATATTAGCTATTGTAATTATTTTCCCAATAAAAAAAGCTTACTTCAAAGAAATAATTTTGTTAATAAATAATTTCTATAAATTTGAAAAAGGATGGAGGCGGAACAAAATTTTCTAAAAAATAATTACCACTTTGCAAGGTTTTTTTTCATACAGGTAATGAATGCTATACAAAGTTGGATAAACTTGTTAATCTGCAGCATGCAAGACTGAATTAATAATAATAATAAAATTCATTATTTATTCATAAAAATAGTTAGCTACATTTTGTTCTTGTATGTAGCAATTCTATTAATTTTTTTTCATAAAATTCATTATTATTATGTATTTTGTGTGGAATCCACTACTGCATGATTGTATAACGAAAGTACAAAATTTCATAGTATGCAACTTTTGTCACTTGATACATTTTTTTTAAATTTATATATGCCGATGGCCCGGTTTTTATTAGGGAGTTTCTATCGTCCACGAATTAAAGTTTTAAAGTTTTGCGGTTTTGCAGATCATAATAATAGCCTGTATCACATGTAATCAATATATACTCGGTGTATATATAAATTTCAATGTGTAACTAATGCAGATTTCTACAAATTTAGAAACTATCTGCAGAAAACTACTAATGTACGATGTCACACCCGCACATACACTGATCATACTATATACATTTGCTTTGGGTGAAATCGAATGTATGGATCTTTTTTCATTTTTAAAAAAGTGAAAATATTTTGTTAATATTGATGGTAAAGACTCCAATTAATTAATATCTATTGTATTATTATATTTTCTCTTGTCCATTAATTCATCTAATTGATCTAATTAATTGATTCGTTAATTTGTATTTATTTATTTGTTGTACTTTAGTCTAATTCAAATATAAAGATACCTCCAAATGTGGTATGTTTGCCACGAACCAACCAAATAGATGCATTGTTGACCATAATTCGAGATAAAAATACCACTCGGGGAGATTTCATTTTCTATTCCGATAGAATTATTCGACTTATTGTAGAAGAAGGTCAATATTATTACTTTTATATCTTCAATTGTTGTAATTATAGCTTGTTGACTCTACTACTGCTATAGTATTTATTGAATTATATTAAGCCGGCTATGTTAATTCAATTAACATTATGTTTACATAAATTTATTTAGGACTAAATCATTTACCAGTTGTAGAAAACAAGATCAAAACTCCAACAGGTTAATAAATTCGATTGATTGTTTGGAAAAAAAAAGAACTTTTATTTTGCGAAAAATACAATAATATCAATAGTAAATTAAATTATAGGAAGTGAATTTGAAGGAGCCGCATTCAAAGGTAAAATTTGTGGAGTGTCAATCATGAGAGCAGGCGAAGCAATGGAACAAGGATTACGTGAATGTTGCAGGTGCATTAAATATATATATAAATATATTAAATATATTATATCATAGATATTAACTTTTACTATTGTTTTATTTTTGTAGAAGCGTAAGGATTGGAAAGATTTTGATACAACGTGATGAAGAAACTGCCAAACCTCAAGTAATACATTTATTGATGTTATTGATATTATTATTTGTTATTTGGAAGAGAATTTATCTAATTAATTAAATAATATTATTTATCATTTATATAGCTTTATTATGCTAAGTTACCACCTGATATCTCTAGTAGATATGTATTATTGTTAGATCCAATGCTTGGTAATATATAAATATTTTATATATATATATCACAATTAATAATTATAGTGTCTAATATTTTATTTTTTTCTTTACATTAATTAATTAATTAATCAAGCAACTGGAGGATCAGCACTTAAAGCCATAGAAGTTTTGTTGGAGTATGGAGTTTTAGAGGATAAAATATTATTTTTAAATTTACTTTGTTGTCCTGAAGGTATTAAAGCAGTAACCGAGAAATATAAAAAACTTAAAATAATCACATCTTTTATTGATCAAGGATTGGATGAGAAGAAATATATTATACCAGGAATTGGTGATTTTGGTAAATTATATTAATTTATTAGTAACAATATTAACTTAAATTTATTAATTAATCATTATTGTTTATTTTAGGTGATAGATATTTCACTCTTCCTTGAATATATTTTAATTTTAAATGTTTTTTGTATTATTTATTATAAACATTTTAAATACAAATATGATAATAAATTATTAATTAAAAATATAAATTATTATTTATTAATTATTTAGATATTTATTAATTATTAAATATTAATATTATGGTACAGCTATATTTAACGCTTGTTTAATATCTTCCAACTATTTTTTTTTAGAAATAGAAAGATGAATTATTAATTAAAATATAATTAATAATAATGACAATGATAAAAAAGAAGACATTTATGAATTAATTTTACTTACCAAATCTTTAGTTTCTTCTATACCAACTGATAGTCTAATCAGATTGTCTGTTATACCAAGAGCTTCACGATGCTCTTTGGCAACAGATGCGTGTGTCATCCTTGCTGGATGTTCTGCTAGACTTTCTACTCCTCCCTTTATTTATTTATAAAAATTATTATTAATATTATAATATATATTACAATTTTATTAACTTAACAGTTAAAAACGTACCAATGATTCAGCTAAAGTAAATAAATTTGTGGATTGTAAAAATGTATTTGCTTCATCAAATCCACCTTTAATTTTGAAGGATATCATACCACCAAATCCTTTCTGTTGATTTTTAGCCAATTCATATTGTGGATGAGATTCCAATCCCGGATAGATGACTTTTTCAACTTTGTCAGGTACACTTTCCAAATATTTTGCTAATGCCAAGGCATTTTTTTCATGTTGTTTCATTCGTAGATGTAATGTTTTAACGCCTCTACTTGCCAACCAACAATCAAACGGTGATGGAATTGCTCCCATTGCATTCTGTAAAAATTTTATCTTCTCGTATAATTCATGGGAATTTGTTATTGCCACTCCCATAACAACATCCGAGTGACCATTTATGTATTTTGTCACTGAATGTACCACTATGTCAGCTCCCAAATCTAATGGGTTTTGAAAATATGGACTCAAAAACGTGTTGTCAACCACCAGAATTGCATTATGTTTATGAGTTATTTTTGCTATGGCTGATATGTCGGCCAATCTTAATGTTGGGTTTGATGGTGTTTCAATCCAAACAATCCTTGTATCATCTCTAAACCCTTTCTCAATTTCACTAACATCTCTATTCAATTCGACAAACGACGTCTCAATACTCTGAGAATCTGCCACTCGTTTGAAATAACGATATGTGCCACCATAAAGTTCATTAACTGCTATTATATGACCACCTGTGCCAATGGTTGTTATTATTGTTGCTGTTGTGGCAGATCCTGATGAAAATGCCAATGCATATTTTCCTTTTTCCAATGATGCAATTGTTTGTTCAAATGCATTTCTTGATGGATTTCCTGATCTCGAATATTCATATCCCTATGATAATTAAATATAATATAAATAATATAAATGTATTTGCCAATGATGATCAATCAATCATTTTAATATAAATTTTCATTAATCATTTTATTAATTTGATAAATTAAAATTTATTTACTATTGTTATTATCATCTATCACAGCCAATAAAAAAAGTTACCTTGTGTACACCAATTGATTCTTGTTTAAAAGTTGTAGATAAAGAAATTGGCGGGATAACAGCTCCTGAGTGAGGGTCGGAATCTTGACCTACGTGTATAGCTTTTGTACCGAAACCTTGTGCCAACTTCAAATGTTCTTTTTTACTTTCAGCACCATTGATTTTGTTGAGAACTCCATTACCGTTAACAAGAACTATTCCATTATTACTACTACTATTGTTTGTGATATTTGGAGTCATTTTTGGTTAAAATTTTTTTTTTGTGTGGAATAATAATTTATAATAAAGGAGAAAAATATATTTTTTGAGCTTTATTTTTTCCATCGTTCATTTATATACTTTTTGATTTTTGATTTGTAATATATTTTTTCCATTTATTTTTAAATTTTTAATTTTTAAGCAATGAATAATGATATAAGAATTTGAAAAATTGCGTGATTAATAGTCTTTTACGGGTATTGCTGTATTGTGTGTGATTGTGTAATCATGCAACTAATACTAATACTAATACTAATTACTATTACTATTACGAATACCATATTTGCGACCGCAGCATATTTTAAGGAAGTCTGACAAATCGGAAATTTCCTTAAGACATGCATGAGCTATTTTTCTATTGTTTTATTGCAATTTAGCCAATAAATTCCATTCATTAGTAAGATACTCGTGATTTCCCAATCCACATGGTTAAGTCATCAAACATGTCGATCAGTTATCAACCATCACAAGAGACCTTGCGCTAACCATTAAATTTTTGCACTGCAAATCCTGGACACTCTCTACCTTGAAGGTTCTAAAGAGAATCATAGCTCACAGTGATGTAGGCTAATGATGCAAGCCACGAGGGTTTTGTTTAAAGAGGTAGAAGTTTCTGAACCTTCTACAATGTTCAAACAAGATTGATTATCTTTACAATTTTGAATTCTCAATAACTAACTTTCTTCTAAATATATAGCAATAAAACTACTGTTAATTGGCAAAGATATTTTCATTGAAATCGGGTCACTCGCTATAATTAACCATAACACATATAAAGATGGGAACGGTAATTAGCCGCAATTCAATTTTTATATGCTGCAATTAATCGCAATTAATTGAGGAGCCATCTTTAAAAACATATAAAATCATAACAATCTTGTTTCCAAAGGTTATATTTTATTCTAGCATATATTATAAATCTGATAAAAATGTATTTTAATAATATATAAACAAAAAAGAAAAATTGAATGTTGAATAGTTAAATACTCTTTTTTAAAGCATTATTTTTTTGGAAAGCGTGAGAAAAGTGAATCTATTTGCATTTTATATGTTATAAAATTTCAAAATAAATAGAATTACACATTCTCTTAATATTATTATTAATATTATATATTATCACTGTTATAAAAGAACAGTAAGAAAAAGTCAATATTATTAATAAATAGAAAAAGGATGACATGATGCGCAGAAAAACCACTACCGCAACCAAATCTAAGCACGTATATCTGACAACTGTTTAATATTTTCTAGTCTTTAATCTAATATTTTTTATTTTTTTTTTTTATTTTGTAAATTTGAATCAAATTTAAGTAAAATTAGTATAAAAGCATTGGTGGTTTATGAGGACAGGAATATGGATGGATTAACAGATGTTCATCAATGTAAGATTATATAACCCCATTTTTTATTAAGCAAACAGGGTCTACCAATTATAGTCTATATGTTATAGATTAATATTATGTAAAAAACGCAAATTTGGTCAGAGGACTCGGAGGTTGGTTTTGGAAAATGTCACATGTGTTACTTGCCTTATTATTATTATAAAGATATATTATATGGATAGAATTGGTGGTTCTTGTGATTTGATAATTTTTATCAAAACCTACAGAAAAAAATTCAGAAACCGCCTTACACACAAACATGTAAGGCTTCGAACAAATCGAATTTTAAAGCGATTCGATTTGATTCGAATCAAACCGGACTTTTAAATTGATAATAAAATAAAATGTGCTTATAACTACAATAATCCAAATGCGGACAGTCAAACCTCATTTCAACAAATCTATGCCCATATAAAAAAATTAGTAGGTGCTGAATAAATGCGGAAGAATGTAATTTTGATACGGAATGAACGCATTTTGATATTAATATGATAATGAAATACATATATACTAATGTAGAAATTAGCGCGGAGTATTTTTGGTCTGGACAATAAAAAGGACAATAACGTGAAAATGATGTTTCGAAAAAAAGATTTACTTTTGAGAGCAATATTATGGGTGTGGTTTCTAAGAAAAACCGTTCTAGATAAAAAGTTATATTAATATATAGAAATAGTTAAGATTGTCCCTTTCATGTTATGGTCCTTTTTCTATTACTATTGTTCAAGCTCCTTCTGTACACGGTAACGAAAATGAATTTTAATACGGAAAACACGTAGAAACATCTTAATCTACTCTGTTCCGTTTAGGTCCGGGAAATTTCATTTTTCTATGTGTATATTCCGTATGTATTTAGTACCTATTCACACATAAGTTTTTGTAGGATGAGTGAGACGCATAAGATCATTGACCGAAACAAAGAATTTTCATTGGATTAATTATTTAATCAAATTATCATTGGGTTAATTTATTTAATATTCGATTAGAATCAGTCCGAGTTTCGTTGTTTCGTTCGGAGACTTAGTCATCCATCATATTAAAATTTTAGTATGAATTTTTATAATAAGAAAAGGTTTCATCGATAAGAAATCCAAAATGTGGAAACAAATTGGATTGTTCAAATATGTTTGCTGGTAGCCAATTGTTTTTATGTTTTTATAGGTAGAATTAAAACGAGTTAACAAAATTTAAAGTTGAGCTTCAATGGAATTCAATTATTTTTAAGAAGCTTCATGAAACATTCCGACAATAAAGATCCTGTTTTAAATTATTTGGATAATAAAAAAACAACATTAGCGGGATTCCCTATTTAAATAAATTTTTTTTGATTATTTGTTTAGATTATTAGTTCAAATTAAAAATTAATAGCTTTACAGTTTTTATAAAAGTGGGAATGCCTTTCTTTACATTCCCCCAAAAGCATTATATTCAAACATGTTGAACCAAGTTTTAAATGGTGTTTAAAGTAAATCTATTTTATTGATCAGATTATTTCTTTTGCTAAATATAATTCTTAAGCATTGATTAATTCAGTTAAAAAACTAAAAAACTTGATAGCAGGTTATACATAAACTGCTCATATGTTGTCTATATATAAATCGGCCATCTAATCTATCCACCATCTCCGTGGCACTTTTTGTTGCTGTTTCTGTTGCTGTTGCTGTTGCTGTTGCTGTTGCTGTTGCTGTTGCTGTTGCTGTTGCAATTGCTGAGCCGTTGCTGTTGCTGTTGTAGTTCTCGTTGTATTTCTGGTTCTATTAGCTGTAGCCGTTGCTGTTGCTGTTGTAGTTCTCGTTGTATTTCTTGTTCTATTAGCTGTTGCTGTTGCTGTTGTAGTTCTCGTTGTATTAGCTGTTGCTGTTGCTGTTGCTGTTGCTGTTGCAGCAACTGTTCCGGTTTCAGTTGCAATTGCTGTAGCCGTTGCTGTTGCTGTTGTAGTTCTCGTTGTATTTCTGGTTCTATTAGCTGTCGATATTGCTGGTCTCGTGTGGGCTTCAGTCGGGACGGATTTATGTATGGCGGAAAGTCCAATTTTGGCATTGTTCTTGGTCTT